CCCTCCATCCCTCCATCCTTCCATCCATCCATCCATCCCTCCATCCTTCCATCCATCCATCCATCCCTCCATCCATCCATCCATCCATCCACCCATCCATCCATCCCTCCATCCCTCCATCCATCCATCCATCCATCCATCCATCCATCCACCCATCCATCCATCCATCAGTCCTGGATCCAGCTGTGAACACCTTTTTCACACCTCCCTGATGTTCATCCCTTCCCACAAAATCCCCCCATGTGCTCTGCTTGCATCAACCACCGAAATCCTGGTGGTCCATGACCTCCATTCCGCAGGGCCTGGCTCATCCCACACGGATGGGGCCTGAGCTCTCCCTTTTCCCCCTTTCCCGTGGCTGCAGGGGCCCCAATGGTGTCTGGACTATGGAAGAGAAAGGGCTCTCCCCAAAATTCGACACCACCTTTGAGAATGCCAGGCCCTCCAAGACTCACATGGCGCTGCTGGGGCTGCAGAGAGTCGGAATCCTGAAATTCCTGGTCAGCCAGAACGTGGATGGCCTGCACGTGCGTTCGGGATTCCCACGGTACTGCCCCTGCCTTTCCCGGCCCCGTGGAAGGGATTTGATTCCCAAGGAATCTGATAGGGGGAGTGAAAGCTGGAAGGGGATGAACCAGCTGGAATTTAGAGGTTGTGGTTCGAATCCAGAGGGTGATGGAGTCGTCCTCGGTTGGTGCTCCCTGGAAATGCTTCTTGTGCAAAGGAAAAACAGGTCGTGGAATTGTAGAATCCCCAAATGGTTTGGGTTGGAAGGGACCTTAAATCCTATCTCATCCCACCCCCTGCCATGGGCTGGGACACCTTCCACTATCCCTGGTTGCTCCAACCTGGCCTTGGACACTTCCAGGGATGGGGCAGCCACAGCTTCTCTGGGAAAACCTGTGCCAGGGCCTCCCCACCTTTCCAGGGAGGAATTCCTTCCCAATATCCCATCTAACCCTGCTGCTCTCCTGTGCCACATCATGGAATCAGGGAATCCCAGACTGGTTTGGAAGGGACCTTAAAGCCCAATCCAGTTCCACCCCTTCCCTGGGCAGGGACACCTTCCCCTATCCCAGGTTGCTCCAAGCTTCATCCAGGTCGTGGTGTTTGTAGCTGTTGGTGCTCCCTGAGGGATCAGGGCCCTGGGGGTGGGAATCTGGATCCAAGCAGGACGCATGCTCCTGGGAACAGCTCAGGGTCCTTTCCACCCTCTCCATACCCATCCAGAGGGGTGGAGGCACAGGAGGGAGGATGGGAACACCTGGAATGGCTCTGGGTGCAGAGACGTGTCTCGCCCCAGTTTGCCGGAGCTCTCGGAGCGCTGGATCCTGGGCTGCCTCAATTTGCTTCCATTAAATTCCAATAAAACCAGTGCTGGGCCCCAAAGAGCCTTAACGAGCATTTGGCCTCTCAATAAATCTGGGAATCTCCAAGAGAAAAGAGACAGAGGGAAGGTCCCGTGGCTGGAACTGCTCTGACTTACCGGTGCTCTCCGATTCCCCGGCGGCGAGGTCGGGATCCCACGGAGGATTCCCGAGGATTCCGAGAATTCCCTCTGCAGGGAACTGCGACATGCAAGAGCTGAGGGTACCAGAGCTCCAGTCCCTGCTGGGGGGGGGGGGAACTGGAGTGGCTGTTCCAAAGATGTCCTCAAAGGAACCTGCCTCTCCCCCCAGCCCTTGTGACAGCCGGAGCTTCGCCCTTCACCAACTCCAGCCCGTTATAAAACCCATTCCCGGCACTTAAGAGCAGCCAGGGATTGTTGTGGGAGGGAAAAGTGCTCGGAGCTGCCTGGGAAGGGGAGGGGAGAGCAGCAGAAAATAAAAGGAAGGGAGGCATTGAGGCTTGAAAGATGCTGAGTGTCCGGGACTGACGTTCAGACCTCTGGGGGTTTTATGCTGATGTGTTGGAACAGGTTTGCCAGAGAATCTGTGGATGCCCTTGGAAACAAGGATGGGAAAAGGGAAATAGGCCTTGGAAAACGCTCTCAGGGACATGGTGGCATTGTTGGGGTGTCCTGGGCAGGGCCAGGAGTTGGACTGATGATCTTTGGGGGTCCCTTCCGACTCAGGATATTCTGTTATCCCTGGAAATGTCCAAGGCCAGGTTGGAGCAACCTGGGCTAGTGGGAGGTGTCCCTGCCCATGGCAGGGGTTGGAATGGGATGATCTTTAAGGTCCTTCCAACCCAAACCATCCTGGGATTCCACGAGTGGGGATGAGAATGAGGATCATGAAGGAGTCTTGGAGAAGATGCTTCTCACAAATACCTTGAACCATCTCTGGCTGAGCAGAGCTGCCTCCAGGGGGGATTTCCTGGGATTAAAAGCCCCCGAGTCCTTCTCCCAGCACCACCTTTGCCTGTTTGAACTGAACAGCCCTGGGAAAAGGAATAGGGAATAAGGACAGAACTCCAGTTGAGCCCAGCTCTGCCACCCCAACAAAGCCTGTGCTTGAGCAAGAGCCGCTGAACTGGGGCCAAACGGGGGGAAATCAAGTCAGTCCTGTCTCATCCCCCCTGGAGGAGGTTCCCAGGAGTTGTGGGGTTTGGAGGAGCACAGGCAGAGCGTGGCTGTGTTTCCCTCTGGCTTCTGCACCAACCTCCAGGGGACTTTTCAGGCCAAACGAGTTTCAGAGGGCTGGGATGGCACAGGGATAGAGAGGTGCTGAGGAAAGCAAAGATCCAGGTGCTACCAGGAGCAGAGATTTGAGCTGGATCAGGAGCTGGAATCGATGCTGCAGGTGGAAGCATTCCAATTAAAAAGCCAGGACATGCTGTCCCTCCTCCGTCCCTGCTGTGGTGGCCTGGGGGAGATGAACCCACCAGAGCTGGAATGCAGGGAAGCCCTTGAGCTACAGGGCCCTGGTGAGGAAGGGAGGGGGGTTGCTCCAGGGCTCTCCACCCCTTTCCCACCTCACCTGTGCCGTTCTCCCACAGGGACAAGCTGGCTGAGCTCCACGGGAACATGTTTGTGGAAGAGTGCGTGAAATGCGGCAAGTACGTGTGCCCCGAGCCTGGGGGGTGAGGGGGGGCGACTTGGTGGGGTTTTCCACGTCGGGGGGGGACATTCCAGCCCTTCCCTGAGGGGCTGGGCCCTGAGTGGATCCGTGTCTCCACAGGCAGTACGTGAGGGATGCCGTGGTGGGCAGCATGGGGCTCAAACCCACCGGCCGGCTCTGCAGCGTCACCAAGGCCCGCGGGCTGAGGGCCTGCAGGTAGGGCTGGGGCCCTGCAGGTGGGGCTGGATCCCTGCTGGAATACTGGATGTGGGATGGCAGGGATCATGGAATCAGAGAATCATAGGATCATAGGATCAGCTGGGTTGGAAGATCATCAATCCAACCCTTGATCCAACCCCGCTGTGGTTCCCAGCCCATGGCACTGATGCCACATCCAGTCTCATCTTAAAAACCTCCAGGGCTGGAGAATCCCCCACTTCCCTGGGCAGCCCATTCCAATGGCTGAGCACCCTCTCTGCAAAGAAATTCTTCCTAATCTCCAACCTAAACCTCCCCTGGCACAGCTTCAGACTGAGCCCTCTTGTCTTGCTGATGGTTGCCTAGGAGAAGAGACCAACCCCCCCTGGCTCCCCCCTCCTGTCAGGGAGTTGTAGAGAGCGATGGCAGGGATCTCTTGGAGTGGCCAGCAGTGCCTCAGGGTTAGGAGAAGCAGCTGAGGGTGCAGAAAGGTCTCACATCACTGGGACAAGGGGCTGGGTCACTGTCACCTCTGCCAGGGCAGCTCTGCTGTTCCTGCCTGGCAGGGGAAAACTTGGTCCCTGTGTGTGTTTTCCAGAGGGAAGTTACGAGACACTATCCTGGACTGGGAAGATTCCCTGCCCGACCGTGACCTCACGCTGGCAGATGAAGCCTGCAGGTGACTGAGCACCCTGGGGAGTGGGAGGTGGAACTGGATGAGCTTTAAGGTCCCTTCCAACCCAAACCATCCCGTGGTTCTGGAGTTTTGTCTCCTCCTCCCCGCAGGAAAGCCGATCTCTCTGTCACCCTTGGGACTTCCCTGCAGATCAAACCCAGCGGGAACCTCCCGCTGATCACCAAGAAGAGAGGAGGGAAGCTGGTCATAGTCAACCTACAGGCAACCAAACACGTGAGTGAGCGTCCTCTGCACCCTGGGCTGCTCCTCTGCCCTCGTGTCACCTCCCCCAGGCCCAGCCCAGGTTTGTCCCTGTCCCTTCCCAGGTGGGAGTTAAACCTGCAATTCCAGATAAACACTTAGAAATTGCAGGTAAATCTGCAGACTGGTTTGGGTGGGAAGGGACCTTGAAGTTCATCCAGTCCCACCCCCTGCCATGGGCAGGGACACTTTCCACTGGACCAGGTTGCTCCAAGCCCTGTCTAAACTTTTCCAAGCAAGTTTTAAGAGCAGAATAAAAACTCAGCCCAAAGCCTGATGTATCCTCTGGTGAATCAAAGCCCAGTGAAATTATGGAATATGCTGAGTTAGAAGAGACCATCAGGATCATCGAGTCCAACCCCTGGCCATGCACAGACACCCCAGTGGTCCCACCCTGTCCCTCAGAGCGTTGTCCAAACCCTCCTGGAGCTCTGGCAGCCTTGGGGCCGTGACCAAACCCTGGGGAGCCTGTTCAGTGCCCAACCACCCTCCGGGGGAAGAACCTTTCCCTGAGATCCAGCCTAAACCTCCCCCAGTTCAACAGGTCCAGTTCCTGCTCAGCCCTGATTTCAGTGCCCCAATTATCCAAAATCTTTACCACCCAGATTTCCTGGGATTATCACTCCCCTTGTCCCCGTCCCACCCTGTCCCTGCTCTCTGTCTCGGTGTCCGGGCGTGTCCCCGGGGCGTGACGCCCTGGGGACATCTCCTGGTGTCCCTGGGAGGGGCCCTTTGTCCCCAGCAGTGTGTCCCCACCCCAGGACAGACAGGCCGACCTGCGCATCCACGCCTACGTGGACGACGTGATGACGAAGCTGATGAAGCTCCTGGGGCTGGAGGTGCCCGAGTGGACGGGGCCGGTGGTGGTGGAGAGCGCGGAGCTGCCGAGGCCGGAGCAGCTCCTCACATCCCCCGGGAAGTGGCTGAAGGAGGAGCCCATCTCCCAGCACAACGGCACGGGAATGCCGTGTCCCGGGAATACGCCGTGTCCCGGGAAGGGGCTAGTGGAGCACCACGAGGGGCTGAAGCAGGAGTGTCCCAGCCCGGACACGGGGCTGCCGCCGGTGAAGAAGGTGAAGGTGGAGCCTCTCCTGAGCTGAGCCCCGGACTGTTCCCCCTCTCCAGACACTCGTCTGTGCCGCTTTTCCTACCGACTTTTTTTTTATACCCTTAAATATTGTCCCTTTTTTTATGTAAGTATTAAACACACTTGAAGCACACGCGGCGGGGCTTGGGAAGGGCGTCGCTCCTTCAAGTGTCCCAAAGCTCCCGGTTCCTTTCCTGAGAGGAGGCAGCTGTGGGGCACAGCTGGAGCTCGGGGAGCAGAAGGATGTGGGGTCTGGGCACTGGGATGGTGACATGGGATCACTGGGACAGCTGGCACCGGGTGGTGGTTGGGATGAGCTGCCACCAGGTCCTGGCTGTGCCCATCTCACAGACTGGGGGGTGTGGATTTTCCCAGAGAAGCTGTGGCTGCCCCATCCCTGGAAGTGTCCAAGGCCAGGTTGGACAGGGCCTGGAGCAACCTGGGATGGTGGAAGGTGTCCTTGCCCATGGCAAGGGGTGGAACTGGATGGGCTTTAAGGTTCCTTCTAACCCAAACTGTTCCATAATTCTCTGATTCCATGTCACTTGGCCATGGAAAGGGACTGGTGCTGGCTGGATCCCAGTTGGACACAGGGCTGGGAGCTGTGGGATGTACCCTGGTGTCCCACTGGGCCTGGCCACATGTCCCATCTCTCCTGGGCCCCTTTGCCTCAAGGCAGTTGGGCTTGAGGTCCCCCCTGGCCCAAGGCTCCTTGAAACCTTGTGGATCACCCTCTCTTAAATTAAATCAGGTGGATTTTTTTCCAAAATAACTTGTATTTAGAGATGAAAATAAAAATATAAAAAACCAAAAACCACCAAAACAAACCCAAGAACAAAACCAACCAGTTGCACCATCAGCAAAACCAACCAGCCCAGGGCCCCTCCCGCTCCCTCAGCCCCGTCCTGAGCGACCCCCTCATCCCTTCCACAACTTCCAGTGCACCCAGGGGGCAGGAGCAGCCCCTTCCCTCCCAGTAAGGCCGATGGGAAGCGATCTCCTCTTCCCAGTTCCCAGGCACAAGCAAAGCCGAGCGGGTCCAGCAGCTGGAGGCACGTCCCGGAGGGGTCACCCCGAGGGCTCGTCCCGGAGGGGATGAGGTGCTGTGTCACCCCGTGGCGTCCCCCGTGGTCCCTGGGTGCTGCTAAAGCTCCTCCTCTGGCTCCAGCCCGGCGGGGTGGCCGTGCCCAGCTTTGGACCAGGCCAGCGCTGCCAGGCTCTGGTGTGACGTGGGGCTGTCCCCTGGCACGGCGTCCGTGCCGGCCCCGGCCCCGCGGCTCAGCCCCTCGGGGGCCAGTGCCGCCGTGTCATTCCCGAGGGACACTTTGTTCCTGAGGGACACTTTGTCCAGGTGTGTGTGGCCACTGAAAGCTTCGTGCAGGGTCTCGGGGGGCTCCGACCACAGGGGCTCCCGGGGCTGCTCGTCCCCGGGCTGGGGCTGGCTGTGAACCACGCGGGAGGCGGCCGCGTTGTGCAGCGACCTGGAGAAAACTGAGCGCCACGGGGCGAGGGTCAGGGCCTGGGCTGGGACCCGAGGGCCTGGCACGGCCCTGGCACTGCCCCAGCACAGCCCAGCTCAGCCCCAGTACAGCCTTAGCTCAGCCTCAGCACAGTCTCAGCTGAGACTGGCACTGCCCCAGCACAGCCCAGCTCAGCCCCAGTACAGCCTCAGCTCAGTCCCAGGACAACCTGGCACAGCCCCAGCACAGCCCAGCTCAGCCTTGGCACAGCTCTGGCACAGCCCCAGCACAGCCCAGCACAGTCCCAGGACAGCCTGGCACAGCCCCAGTACAGCCCAGCTCAGCCTTGGCACAGCCCCAGCTCAGCACAGCCCAGCTCAGCACAGCTCAGCACAACCCCAGCTCAGCCCAGCTCAGTCCCAGGACAGCCTGGCACAGCCCAGCTCAGCCTTGGCACAGCTCCAGCTCAGCCCAGCTCAGCACAGTCCCAGCTCAGCCTGGCACAGCCCAGCTCAGCCCTCACCTCGCACTGGCCTGAAGTCGCCGTTGGGCTCGGCCTTGCTGGGGGCGAAGGGGCTGACGGAGGGGAAGACGATGAGGGTGAAGGAGAGCAGCAGGACCTGGGGACAGAGGGGATGTCACCACACAGCAGTGGAGGGGGACCAGGGGCTGGGACACAGCTCCCAGGGAGGGGCTGATGGCAGAGCCAGGACTGTGTCCATCCCTCCATCCCTCCTGGTGCATGTGCTCCTGCCAGTGCACTTCCACCCATCTACCCATCCCTGCCTCATCCATCCCTCCCTGCCTCATCCATCCCTCCCTGCCTCCATCCATCCATCCCTGTCTTTCTCCATCCATCCCTTCATCCATCCACCCACCCATCCCCACCCTCCATCCCTCTCTTCCTCCATCCATCCATCCATCCATCCATCTGTCCTTGTGTTCTTCCTTCCCTTCATCCATCCCTCCCTGCTTCCCCCTATCCCTTCATTCACCCATCCCTGTCTCCATCCATCCCTCCAACCTTGGAGCATCTATCCCTCTGCCTTAGCACATGGAGGGACTCCATCTCTCCATCCATCCACCCATGGATGCCCCTTCCCACCCCGAGGATCCCGGGGGGCTGGAGCCCCACTCACCGCCAGGCAGGTTCCCGTCTGCGCCGCCTTGTTGCTCGACTGGACCACGAGGGCCTGGAGCTTCTTCAGCTGCTCCAGGAGGGATCTGGGAACAGGGAGAGCCCGTGAGCCCCCCAGGCCCCTCCAGCAGGTCTGGGAGTGAGGGGGGTGTCCCAACTGCCCCCATCCCACCCCGGGAACACCTACGAGTTCTGCTTCTCCAGGTGCAGGACTTTCCTCTGCAGCTCCTGGTTCTGGGCCGTGCACGCCGACATCCTGGGGGACAGGGAGAAGGGGCTGGGATCAGGGGGACAGCTGGGGGGGCTGGCTGTGCCCCCCGGGGTGCCCCCATGCCCAGGCTGAGGGGTGGGGTCCGTACCTGCTCTCCAGCCCGTCGATATATTCCTTCTTCTTCTTGCGGCTCTCCTGAGCCGACTGCTTGTTCCGGATCTTCCGCCGGATCTTCTTCAGCACCCGCTCCTCGTACTGGGGGACACAAGGGGGGGTCAGGGATGCTGGAGATGGGATCTCCCCCACCCCACACCCTCCCCAGGCCTGCTGGGACCCACCTTGGTGAGGGGCAGCTGCGTGGGCAGGGTCACCCCCTCCTTCGCCAGCAGCTTCTTCTCATCCTCTGTCAGCACCAGCTCCTGGAAGTGGCCCTGGTTTGGCCGGAGCAGGGAGCCGGGAGCCTGTGGCTGCTGTGGGAACAGGGAATGGTCACCCCGGGGACTGTGGTGGGGACAGGGATGGGGTCGTGGGCCAGGGAGGGACAACCTCTCTCCGTGGTGTGGGAACGGGGACAAGTGTGGGGATGGGGAGGGATGGGAGCAGGAATGGGGGGGATCATGGTCCAGGAAGGGACAAGGGATGGGACCATGGGGTGGGAAAGGGGACAAGTGTGGGGATGGGGAGGGATGGGGGCAGGAATGGGGGGGGATCATAGTCCAGGATGGGACCATGGGGTGGGAAAGGGGACAAGTGTGGGGATGAGGAGGGATGGGAGCAGGAATGGAGGGGGATTGTAGTCCGGGAAGGGACAAGGGATGGGACCATGGGGTGGGAATGTGGGGATGGGGAGGGATGGGGCAGAAATGGGGGGGACTGTGGTCCAGGAACAAGGGATAGGATCCTAGTGTGGGGATGGGGAGGGATAGGGATGGGAATGGAAGGGATCAGTGTCCAGGAGGGGCCAAGGCTGCAGACAGGGACAGGGAGTGCTGGGGACACAGGGACAGGGACTCACGTTGTCAGAGCTGCCCGAGAGCAGCAGGTCCTTGACGGTGAGGGCACAGGTCGGCGGTGGGGAGACCACGGGCAGGTCCTGGCTCTCCTCCAGGAAGAACCCAGGGTGCCACATGTCTGGTGAGGGCACAGCAGGGCTGTGAGCAATCCTGTGTCCCCCTCTGTCCCTGGTGTCCCTCCCCTGGGGGTGACCCTCCCCCTGCACAGCCTCAGAGCTGGGCTGACTTGCTGCCCAGTCCATGACCCCGACTTTGCCCCCCCAAACTGCCACTCTGGTGCTGCCCCAGCTGCCCCCCAACACCCTGTGCTGCTCAGCCCCCCCAAACCCCTCTCCTCATCCAGCCTCCCCCACCAACACCAGCCTGCCCAGTTCACCCCAGTTCCCAAGCTCTCCCCACTCCCCAGTCCTCCAGACCTCCCAGTTCTCCCCAGTTCCCTCCAGTCCCCCCAGCTTCCCTAATTTCCTCACAAGCCCCACCTGCCTCACCCCTCTCAGCTCCCCAGTGCTCCCAGTCCCCCCCAGTCCCTCCAGTGCCCCCAGCCCAGTGTGGCTCACCCAGGTCGATGGAGACCTCGGGCTGCAGGACCCCAGACCCCGCTGGGATGGGCTGAGCCCGGCAGGGGTTGGTGTAGGGGTACAGGACCTCCTGGGGACCCCCGTCACAGCACCTGGGGGGGCTGTCGTGCTGGTCCGAGGGGGGGTCCTCAGAGACCCCGCTGTCACTGGTGGCCGAGGACCAGCTGGGCGAGTCCGACGCCGAGTCCCCGGAGCCCAGGATGGAGCTGAGCAAGTCCTCGCTGTCCTGGACACGCTGTGGGGACACAGCACCCATCACCACGGGGCACTGTCACCCCGGGGTGCCCACGGGAGCCCCCCAGCCCGGGGGTCTCACCCTGCCCTCGTGCCAGGCTCCCGGCGGCGTTCCCAGCTCCACCCCGCGCAGGATCCCGTCCTGGCGGTCGAAGAGAAGATCCAGCAGGTCCAGGCTGTCCACGCTGGAGGCCATGGCTGGGAGGTGACACGGCGTCAGGGCCCAGCCCTGGTTGTCCCCCGTGTGTCCCCCCCCCAACCTGCACAAGCTGCACAGGCCTGGGGACACCTCGTGGGGCAGTGGGAGGGAGCAGGGAGCGGGTTTGGGGGTGTCTGTGCACAGATGTGGGCACAGCTGGCAAAGCCCTACATGTGTGGGAGGGAGAGAACAGGGTGTGGGGGCTCTGGGCATGGCAGTGCCCCCCCAGCTCCTTCCAGCTGCTGAAACTCCCAAATTCTCTATTTTTCTCCTGAGAATGACCCAGCCAGGGGCTCCCTGCAGGCACAACCCCCCTCAGGTCCCTCGAGGGCAGGAGGGGCTGGGGTAGCTCCCCCCTCCAGCCCTGGCCTGGGGGTGACCACTCTGGGAGGGCAGGTTAAACATTTTGGGTGGGAAGGGGAGGGGAGGAGGCTGGGGAGGGGACTCATCCCCAAGGAGGGGATTCAGCCCCAGGGAGGGGATTCGGCCCCAGGGAGGTGACTCAGTCCCTCAGTGCCACCCCAGGCACTGCTCAAGACCCCAGATTCAGAGAGAGCCACCAGGCCAGTTGACCACTTGCCCACGTGGCCAATCAACCCACTGACAACCCAACTACCCCACCAGCTGACCCACCAGCTGACCTACTGACCAACTGGTTGACCAGTCAATCAGTGAGCCCATCAAGAAACGGTCCAAATGGTCAACCTGGTGGCCAAGTGACCAAAGGATGGACTGACCAAATAGCCAACGCACTGACCAGTGGACTGACCAGTCAACTCTCTGACTGATTGATCACCCAACCCACCACCCAACCACCCAACCCACCACCCAACCAATTAACCCCTGACTCAAGTGTCCTCCAAGCCAGGTTTGGGGACAGTGTCATTACTGGGACATCCATCTGGCCAACCCAGACACGGGGGGGGCTTTACTGTGCCCTGTCCTTCACCCTCCACCCTGATGGTCCCGTGGGACCCGCTGAGGGCCATACCTGGGTGAGATCCCACAGATTGTCCTCTCAACCCTCTCTGAGCGCAGGGCAGCGGGGTGGACACCGAGCCCAGCCTCCTCCTCCTCCTCCTGTGTGATGCCCTGACCCGAGTGGCAAAGTTTAAACTCCAACTGCACAGAAATAACGTCCTGGATTGCGAAATATCCCCGGCCGGGGCCGGCGGGATGTGATGGGAGGGAATGGACCAGTAACTCATTAGCCACATGTTTTTGTGCTCCCTTGCCAAGCAGGGCAGGAGGGGCCGGGGCTGGAGAGCGAAGTCCAGGTGCTATAATTACCCATGAACCTTCACCCACTTTTGGGGACAATTTCCCTTTTTTTTCAGGCAGGAGTCTCGGTGTTAGATCACATTTGGTGGGCGTTGGGGAAAACATCCGGGGGACAGCAAAACAAACCTTGGGCCCCTCAGCTCCCTGTGGCCAGGGCTGGGCTGGGGCTCTGCTGCCTGAGCCCTCCCTGCCTCAGTTACCCTCAGTGACCTTCCAGTGCCTGAAGGGGCTCCAGGAGAGCTGGAGAGGGACTTGGGACAAGGGATGGAGGGACAGGACACAGGGAATGGCTTCCCACTGCCAGAGGGCAGGGTTGGATGGGATACTGGGGAGGAATTCTTCCCTGGGAGAGTGGTGAAGGGCTGGAATGGAATTCCCAGAGAAGCTGTGGCTGCCCCAGCCCTGGAAGTGTCCAAGGGCAGGCTGGAGGAGAAGGCTCCAGGGAGAGCTTAGAGTTCCTTCCAGGGTCTGAAGGGGCTCCAGGAGAGCTGGAGAGGGACTTTGCATAAGGGATGGAGGGATAGGACACAGGGAATGGCTTGAAAGTGAAAGAGGGGAAATTTAGATGGGAAGGAATTCTTGGCTGGGAGGGTGGTGAGGCCCTGGCACAGGTTGGGCAGAGAAGCTGTGGCTGCCCCTGGATCCCTGGAAGTGTCCCAGGCCAGGTTGGACGGGACTTGGAGCAACCTGGGCCAGTGGAAGGTGTCCCTGCCCATGGCAGGTGGTGGAACTGGATGGGCTTTAAGGTCCCTTCCAACCCAAACCATTGCATGACTCCATGATTCCCTCATGGGTGTTTAGGGCTGAACACGGTGAGGGGCCGTCAGCACAACTTTATCACCCGTGTCCCCTCCATGAGCTTTTCCCCTCCAGATTCCCAGGACACCCGGAACCCCCGGGATCCCCAAACCCCCGGGATCCCCAAACCCCCCGGGATCCCCGGACCCCCCGATCCCGGGCTCCCGGGCGCAGGGAGGGGCCTGCGCTGACTAAGGCTCCGTTTGCCCCAGGCGTGGCACAGGGACAAGGCCGCGGCCCCTTATCGGCCGCCCCACGGCCCCTGACCGACGGGGCAGCGGCTGCTCCCTGGTTTATGGCCCCGCCGGGACCGGCCAAAGGGCGCCCGGGGCTGTGAGGGGTCGCCCCCATGATGGGTCCCGAAGTCGGGTAGGGAACAGGTTGGAGAGAGGCGAGGGGGCTCCTGCTCGTTGCTGGGTCGCTAATTATTTATTTAACGCCCCCCACACAGCAGGACCGCCGGTGCTCCCCGGTACCCGCCGGTCCCTCCCCTCAGGCCGCCATAGCCCCCTCCTCCTTCTCCCGCCGACTCAGCGAGATCTCGCGAGACTCCATCGCCCTCAGCCCCGCCCCTCCTGGCCCCGCCTCCGCCTTGCCCGTAATCCAGACGAGGCTCCGCCCCCTCGACCCAGGTCACGCCCCCGTGGCTCGGCCACGCCCCCCGGAGCACCGGCCACGCCCCCATTGCCCCATCCATGGTCTCGGCCCCGTCCGCGGTCCCGCCCCTGGCCCCGTCCCCCCGGGCGCAGCCCCCGAAGGCCCAGTCCCTCCCCCCCGACCCCTCGTTCCCACCCCAATAGTCCCGTTTATGGCCCTGGGCCCATCCCGTGGCTCCGCCCCGTCCTGTGGCCCCGCCTCCCGGCTCCCCGAGGCCCCGCCCCCCGGAGCCGCGCGTCCCCGCCGCGCTCGACCCGCGCGAGGCCCCGCCCCCACGCCCGTCCCCGCCGGTGATAGGCCCACTGCAGGCCCCGCCCCCTCCCGTCGCGGCCCCGCCCCCGCGCGCCCCCG